AAGGTGAAGCAGCACACTGAAGACCTCATCTTTCTGTCATTCTGCTTTCTACTCCTATCAGCATACTCCTGGCACTGTGGCACACCCAATTAGCCTTCTTGTGCTGCTTCTTACTATCCTTCTCTAAGCTCTTCTGTGCAGGAACTGCAAGAGGTTGATGCAATGTCAAATTAGGGAACCTACGCTAAGGACAAGTACAAAAACAAAAGTTACTTTATATGCATTATGTGAAAGAGCTGTTAAAATTCTGTGTGGCGCAGATCACATCTGCAGGTTGCCGTTCCACTTTCCACCAAAACACGAACACGCTGTACATACCGCTGAAGGAAAAAAAAGTGTCTATAACGCAGGGCTGGACAGATCCCAGAAGCCAGGCAGGTAATGCTCATTAAAAAGGACAGTTGGCACCTAACATTTGAGGTTTTCTCTAATTGTTGTCAATGGATCCGGCTCCAAAGAAAATCCTGCTGGCTCCTGGATTCCATATTACTTTTTCTACCCCGGCTATAAGGCAGGTTAAAGCACAACACACATACACTATAACATGCAGAAGTGAACTAGTCTTAAATGTTCCTATACCTGTGCCGGAATAGAGAAATGCGTATTTTATAAAACTGCTATATAAAAAGCCGCTACGAGTACAAACAAGGAAGTCCGCGGTGTGTTCTCCTGACATCTGAAACTTTATACAGACAACAACAGGCAAAAAGGGAGCAATCTGAGCATTAGCTAGCAACTGTATTACAGGAGGCAGAGCAGTCACCAATGGTTTAGTGGATTACTCTGGGAAGCTGCATTTTATTCTCATGGTTACTGACCTAATAAAAAGATATGGCATATAAATCATACAGCATTGTGTGTTCATCTATAGTACAGTGAGATAATAGGAGGGTTTACATTGCAGTGCAGTGTAGTAGGAAAGCACTAACACATTCCATAGTGGGTATGGACAATACAAGGGGTACAGACACAACACTGCTGCGCATTCGGCACAGTTCATGAAGTACAGACAATAAAGCTGAGTTGATCTACGGACTATCTGTAAAGACAATACAGGCGAGTAGAGCCAAGCACTATCCTGTACAAACAATACAGCTATGTAAGATGGAGCAGCACTTCCTGTTTCTGACTCACAGCCATACGGATCACTGTATACATCCCCTCTAATCCACACAGTGCTGGAATACTGGTGGGATCCCCTACTTACCAGCTAGTCTTGGGGTCCCCCGCTGATCCCTCTCTGTGCTATGGTGTCAGCGCCTTAGCTCCTGGCGTCAGTCTTTCCGTGTCTGCTCGGCGTTAACAAGGAAAGAAGCATCCCTGGCATCCCTTTAGGCGTGCATGTTTCTTGTTCAGTCCTGCCTTGAGTGATGCATGCTGCCAATTACTTCCGCAATTCTATGTCAACATGGCTCCTAATGCAGTTTGCAGAGTAGATTACCCATATGTACTATTAAAGCGTATAACAAAACTGTAATATATTGCAGCTTACCAAGCCTTATATGTAGTGGCAGCATTCATTTTAATTAGTTTAGGCTTTTTTTTTTTTACCTGTAGTCCTGCGCTGTCCCTTTGTGTCAACACTCCCCATTTTATCTGGGCAGCTATGGTTTACACACACACGACTCTAAACATGTCTGCCTTTGTTCATCTTCATTACATAGTACAGTGGTTCTCAACCTTTCTAGGGCTGGGGTCCCTTGGTAACATTTGCAAAGTTGTGGTGACCAACGGTATAATTTAGGGATGCACCAATACTTGTATCTGTGCGGGCTTTCAGGTGGCCAGTATGGGCTCGCAGGTGCTCAATGGAGTTACCTGGCGGTCAGCACGGGCTCTGTCGTGACAAAGCTGGCACTTACCTCACAGGTTGAGAACTACTGACAAAGTAGATTGATAGGACTTAACAGGAGACAGATAAGGGGGGTTAGTGCTTTCTTTTCAGCTCACAAGAAATGACAAGGACACCGTATTTCTGACAAGATCAACAGGTAATTCCTGTACTTGCTGATAATCTTCTTTGTCTATAAAAAGAAAACTAATGCAGCAACCATATCTAAGGACTGCTAAGCTGCAATGTATGACATTTTTGGTTTTTGATATCCTTTGATAACCCTTCATTAGTCAGATACTCTTTATTGCATTAATTGCTGTTTAAGAATTGCTAATAGGAATTCCCTAGTTAAGACATACAGTATAGTTGTAGTAAAAACAAACAAAACCATTTTAAAATACTCTTCGATGGTATGTGTCAAACATTCCAGACTCTTAGGTCCTATTCACACTTGTGAACGGGGTCGGATCGCATGAGACTTATGAATTCCTCTGTGAAACTCATGCGATCAGAAAATGGATGTAAAACACAGTGAGCCGTTGGCATGCAATTGTACAAGCGGCGATTACCTGTGGATGACCGCACCTGGATGCATGTGCAATTACTTGCCAATGGCAGCTGGCCGCATGAGTCTCACATGATCGGCTCCATTTGCAAGTGTGAATGAGGCCCAACGTCAAACCCCATTCACACCTAGGACTTTTGTAGATCCTTTTCCAAAGTGCGACAACCCTACAGAGGAATCCCATCGTTTTTAATGACCCCTGTTGAAAGCGGAGTGCTGTGCTGCCAGGAAAGTGAGGCTAGGAAATGTACGTCAGCTTCTTTTGGGGCACAATCTGCCAGATTGTAGTGGGGTCGGTGCCTCCAATGGGGAGATTTCTTCTTTTTTCATGATTTGTCACTGGGATAGGAAGTGAGGGGCATTGTCCCCAATAAAGGCAAACAGCAATTTTTTTTTGTAGTAGATTGAAAGCCACCGATTGGTGCTGCTGCCTGTGTTGGGGAGATATTTTGTCAACGCTTTCACTTGGACAGGAAAGAAGGGGAAATACGCCCCAAAAGGGACTTGGACATAAAAAAAAACAAAAAAAAACCCTTACCATTTATAATCCTTCCCCACTCTAACCAAAGCTCATACAATTTTTATCTGGAGTGTCACTTTAAAGGCGGCCATACACTGCGACTTGCAGCTGACTGAAACTTACACAGTGGGTGCTGCTGTCGTCACCCTTTTGGCCGGCATCCCTCGATCAGCTGATCAAATGAGTCCGTCAGAAAATCTCTGAATGAACAGAGCGTGTAACCAATGAGCTGCCGGCTCAGTTTGGGTATTCTAAAAGCAGACGACGGCCACTGTCAGCATACAATGAAGACAGCAGGAGATTTCTCGATCAACAGTCGGAAGCATTGATGGACGAATCTGCTATATTTTGTTCATTCAGCTCGCAGGTTGAACAAAGAAAATATTACAGTGTATGGGCAGCATAAGAAAGGTATCATAGAAGAGTATTGGACTTTGTCCAGTGTAATGGTGAGCTTAACAAATTTACAAGGGACTTTATGGAGTGCTGCAATATATACTAGTGAATTCTGCATGATGCCCCAAGTCATGAGGACTGGGCACATCCCATGAGGATGCCAAATACCTTGTTTAGATGCTATATATGTAGAGGGAGGGTGCGAATAATATAAATCAGGAATAAGGAGCACACAATACAGAGGAATTAGGACACATGCAGTATATCATCCTATAGGCCTTAGTCAGAAAAAAACACGGGATGACAAAACTAAATGATTGAGAGGTCAGAGGATGCAATGCAAAGATGAGCAAGGAACGGGAACGCCTAAAGGGATACCAGGGATGCCTTCTTTTATGTAGTGTCAGTCTTTGATCAACTCCAGGAAGTGACATCCTATGGCAGAGGGAACTGCTGGCGCTCCTCCTACTGCTTACACCATCTGTGCCAGGAACTCTGCTAACATATTCCCCATCATCTGCCAGGGAGAGGACTTTGCACACTATGTACAATATGACATGTATACTGCTGTCTAAGGAGTGCGCACATTGGTACTTCTCGTACCATGTACTTAGATCCTGTTGTGTGTGATAAGCATTTTGCTGATCATTGCTACAGGGTAATTGGTGTGTCAATATATTTTAAAGGGACAGTACAGCAAGCAGCTTCCGAAGCTGCAGTCTGTGTTCACATACAGCACCTCCTTTAAAGCATATCTCTGGCATTTTCAAAAGGATAACCCTTGTAGTGGGGCAGCCCCACACTGCAAGGGTTAACTACTCGTCTTGGTCTAGGGAAAGATGATACACTCACCCGATCCTCAATCCTGCAACGGTGACTGCTCATCTCTTTTTCCCCCTCCACTCCGGCTGTGGTATGTCTCTTGGTTTCCTCATGTCAAATGCAAGTGAATGGACCTTGCATAGATATGATGGGGTCAGCGGGGCTTAGCGTGCCAGAGCCTGGGGGAGAAGAGCCTGCGTGGATCGGTCAGGCAGACAGGATGTAGGATTGGTAAAGTATATTTTCTTTATTTCTGCCCCTGGGACCAATATGAGCAGCTACCCTTTGCAGTAGGAGGGGGGCGCGCCACTGCAAGGGTTAACTTTTGAGATTCCTGGAGTTCCAGGTATACATAGCTATGCTGGCCATACATCTTGCAATCTCTCGTCAAATCCCTTTAAATGGATTCAAACTATGCAGTAGAAGCCAAACCCAAACAATCCGCTCAATTAGCATATGGTCCGGTAGGCTCTTCTACTACGTAATTATTGGTGGATCTAAAGAAGATTGTTCCGCCAGATTTCAAGGTGTATGGGCAGATTTAGGCCTGTGTCACTTTGTAGCAGTTCTAAAACTCTGCTCACTTTCTCTGGCACTTTGTAGCTGGATCTGAATCATCATCAAAATGGACAAAGTGAAAGACCAGCACCGGGTCCCCGGACAAGGGGAAGCGCACAAACAACACAAAGCCTGGCTTTGGTGTACACACAGCCAAGCAGTGTAAACACATCAGAGCTATGCGGAGTTCCGGACTATCGGCACAAACAATCCAGCTGTAGAGGCGGCTCTTCCTGTCTGATGATCCGGCCTCCACATATCTCATATACAGCCCTCGTCTACCCCGTCCCGGCGCACACACTCACCGGCTGGTCCCCGGCCTCCCTCCTCTGGCACAGTGTCTCCGATACTAGACCGGAATGAGTTCTCCGCTCCCTCCCGGGATTCGATCACTTAACACCGGACTGTGATACGGAGGACTCGGAACGGAAGTGACGTGACCGGCAGGGGGTGGAGTCTGGGTGCTAGAGAGGAAAGACGCTGGATGGTCCATTGTCTGCTTCAAAGGGAGCTGGAGCCCGGTCTACTGTGTGCTAGGGAATAGGGTGTGCTGGTGTGTAGTTTTCTCTGTGGCTGGTGTAATGGGAAGGGGGGTATGGTGGGTGTGTTGGGGTGCAGTGTTGTGTCTGATGGGGTGCAGTGTTGTGTATGGTGGGTGTGATGGGGTGCAGTGTTGTGGATCCTGGGTGTAATGGGGTGCAGTGTTGTGGATCCCGGGTGTGATGGGGTGCAGTGTTGTGGTTCCCGGTTGTAATGATGTCTGGCCATACACTTGTTTTTTTTCTTGTTCAGCCCTGCAAGCTGAATTAGAGAAATCATTCCTCCATTCATGATAAAGAAATGGATGGAGGGATCTCCCATGCTGGCCATTGTAGTCTGCAGCTGTCAGAATACCCCAACACTGGTGCAGATGATTGGGTGCAGCCACTGTTCAATGGACGATTTTGTACCCTACTCCTTCTACAAAAGTCAATAGAAAAACGCCTCCTGTCAAACCTGGTGGTGCCAACAGGGCCACACACAGTTTACATTTTGGCCGATTAAGCAGGAATCACCTAAAATTCAAGTTGTGGGTGGCCAAGTTTTGGGTAGAGCAGGAAAGTGTTTGATCCACCATGACTGTGAGGTTATTTGTCTCCTCTGGGGAGATTTGACCTCACTTCCTGTGATCATGGGACCGGTAAGTAAAGGACATGAGATAATAATAAAAGTACTTTTTTTATTTTTTTCTGAGCACAAACACCTGTATAGGCATCTTATGTATCATTCAATGTGTACAATGTTAAGTGCAGAGATAAATTGCATAGAGCAGGGGCACCTACAATTTTTCGTCTGGAGATCTACTTTTCAAATGACAAACTCAATGCGATCTACCAACGAAAAAACACCTGCATTCAGGGGCGGGAGGGAGCATAGCTGTGTATTGAAGTCAATGGCGCCGCAGCCACGCCCCTCACCCGCAGTGCGATCGCCCGCACCTGGAATGCAGGCACATAAGTGCCTGTGTTCTGGTCCAGTGCAATCTGCAAAAATGCTGCAAGCACTATTTTTGCAGATGGCACTGGACCAGAATGCAGGCACTAATGTGCTTGTGTTCCTGGTGTGGGTTATCGCACTGTGGGCGGGGGGATATGGCTGCGGTGCCATTGACATCAATAAATCCCCACCTCCATAAGGAAGGACAGTGTCAGCACCAATTCAGAGATGATTTGAGGATCTACAGCCGAGTGATACACAAATAAGATGATCCAATTTTGTTAATAGATCAGGTACTTAAATGCATTTTTAAGATTTAACTCCTGAGTTCAGTGTCACTTTAACACCACTTATCCCCACAATAAAAGTCCATCCAGTTTCTCAAGTGTAGTGTGCTCCCCCTTCTCTCAGTGAACTTACCAGACCTTTAGCCAACACTTCACCACATGGGTACAGTTCCTCCTTCAGTATTAAGAAGGCCAACTTATATGCATCAAATGTGTTCAAAGGCACAAAAATAAAGAAAGGCTCACAGGTAAAAAAGATTTATTACATAAAAGAATTGCACTTATATCTATCTATACGTGTTGTGTCCACCACAAATCAACAGTTCAGGAAAGCAAATCCAACAGCGTCTGTTTCTGATGCTACCTCAGCGGAAGTGACGTCAGCAGGCTCCGTCCGACGCCTTTTGTCATAACAATACTCACCTGATCCTCTCTCCCACCTGGCTGCTAGACCGGCCCCCGCTGCCTCTTCTCCCCTGGGCTCCAGCAGTGTAATTACCCATGATGACATTACATCTAATACAAGTCTGTTAGAAGTGTTGTGGTATACAACAGCCGGAGCGGAGGGGGAGAGAGGTGAGCACTCACTGCCACAGGACCGAGGATCTGCCCTATTTCTGAATGACCATTTAACCCTTGTAGTGTGAAGGTAGCCCCCCTGCCAGGGTTAATTGAAAAAAAAGTTCTTCAAGAAAGACAACTGATTACATTAATTTGTTCAAGGTTTTCTTTCCCCAAAATGTACTGTCTATGCCAGGGGTGCCCATAAGGTCGATCGCGATCTACCAGTGATCGCGATTTCCTGGGTCTTCTCTGGATCCCCACTGCTCTCCCCCATCTGTATGCAGCGGAGATCCGAGGAGAAGTGAACGAAGCGCTGCGGGGGGTCGGAGGAGGGAGCCGCTATCACAGAAGTAAGGCCGAGCAGTGAGGAGAGAGAGAAACACTCGGCCAGGATCTGACAGCCGGCGGCTCTCTCTCACCACGCTCCGTCCTCCGCTGCCCCCGCGGCTGCAGCCCTTCTTTTACTTCTCCTCTGCCCAGGAGAGCAGCGGGGATCCAGAGAAGAAGCTGAGCCCCCTTGTGTGTGTGGCAGAGCAGCGGAGGATCGGTACATATCAGTGATATGTACCAATCCTCTGTGCTGGACAAACACTGGAGCGATCAGCTGATCACTAGTGTTTGTAAATAACTGGGGACACATAGTACTATGTGTCCCCAGTTATGAGTGAACAGGATGTGATTTACATGGGGACCTCGATCTCCGACGTTTACTTTTAGATTTATTTGTTTTGTGCATCCTGCGGGTATGTCGCCAGTCCAGGGGTCCTAGCCGTGCCAGTGATTGAGGTAAGGCGTAAAGGAGTATGCACGTGATGTGGGAAAAAGTGCCCAGGTGGCACGGAGCTAGTTTACTGCATGTCCATGCAGGTCTTCTGCGTGCCTGCGTCCCCCTTTCCTAACATTTCAAAGAAATGTTAACACTTAAAACCCTAACCCAAGTAAAAGCAGTATAAACTGCAATAAGCATTTTTTTTTTTTAGCTTATGCTAAGTGAATGGGAACATGTAACAAATAAAAAATAGGTGTTATCCCAATTTGGCTGCAAAAGTGGAAATACACTTTAAGGATACCTGTTATATTTTCTATACTTCATTAAAAACAAAGGTGCAGAACTACCTAAAAGAAAAAATTAATAATTATTGAAATTAATAGAACCAGGGGAGGAGGGGACAGTCACTCGGCGGGATAAGGTATGCCGCCGGGTCCCCTCCTCTCTCCTGATACTGTCGTGCGTTCTGACTTTTCAGAGGGGGGTGACTGTGAGTCATTTTGGTGTCACCCAGGTGCAGGCCGCTCCCCCCTTGTGACGCCACTGAATAGAACCAATATTAGTTGATCCTGAAGCAGCTATGAAAGAAAGTGGATAAACCACCTTATTATTAGATAAAAGGTAGAAACACAGCGCTAAAGGATTTTTTCACTATTTCTTAATTTTTTTTGTTATAATTGGTTCATACTATATGATTTTTGAGATTTTTTGGGGGATTGATGTTTGCTTACGTATTCACACACCTATTTCCTCTTTACACACTCTATTACCAATTATCGCTCCCTAGGGCTGTGTGAAGACGCAGTTCTTCTCACAAACCACTCACTTGAGAACACCCAATCCACCACAATAAGAACCTATCCAACCACTGATTATTTAATTATATAGGTTGGTCAACCTTTAGCGCTGTGTTTCTACCTTTTATCTAATATTAGGTAATTGCACAGAAGTATGAAAAAACAAAACAATCCTCCCTTTGTGTGGGTCATACACACACACACACACACGGAGGGCCCAGATCGCACACACTACTTCTGGCCAGCAATTTATAACAATGTATGTAATAAAGTTTATGGATTTTAACAGTATGGTTATTTAAATTTTTTTTCTTTTATTAGCTGGATCACTTCAATACTTAAGACTCTTTCACATACGTGCCATCAGTTTACGATCAGTGGGGGATCCTCTGCTGATCAGAGCAGTTCGAAATCAATGTCACTTTTGTGACATCTGTGTCTTTTCAGTTTTTCCCTCCTTAGACAGCTGTACAGACCAATGTTAGGTCTGTCGGCAGTTGGATATAAGCAATCATGTGTCCATTTACATCAGACTACCTCCAATCCATCCAAATCAGCTCTGTTCCATTTTTTTGTATCTAGATGGACTTGGAGATAATCGGATGTAAAAGGACACATGTCTGCTTACATCCGACCACACATAGAGTTACGTTGAGCTTCCAATCCGGTCTGCCTGACATGCAGACCTCATTGGAGCGCTGTGTGGAAGGGGCCTTAGTAGTATATTGTCAGCAACAGTGCAAGAAAGATGAAATGCAATCTCACTCTTCTGCAGAAATCACTGTCCTTTTTTTAAAATTCATCCAAAGCACTAACACACAATCCCCCCAGGAACCTACAATCAAAGTGCTAGAAAGACAATGATAAAATTAAATAAAAAACAAAATATATATATACATCTAAAAACAAATAAATAAAAAATGATAGAAAACACAAGTTGCTTATTGGCAAATAGTACTCTCTCATACTTTATTAAAGCCCAGTTGTAGCTTTAACTTAACTATTAGGTGCTAAATAAATGAAGATTTTTAAAGCTTTATTTCTATTTTTGGATGTTACAAGTGCTCCAGCGCCTCTCTAACCTCCCATGCTGGAGATCCAGATCACTCAGCTCTCTGTGGGAGCAGCATTGTGGATCTCCAGTCCTGTGACAAGCCCCCTGCACAGTGCTCCAATCAACAGTGCGAATGTTCCATGAACAGCTTTGATTGGAGCGATCTGCAGGGGGTGTGTCACTGGACTGAAGATCTAGACCTCTGCTCTCACACACGGCCAAGTGGTCTGTATCCCTTAGCATGCCCATGGAAAAGGGGAGTTTGGAGAGTGCTAGAGTCTTGTAATATTCAGAAATAAAAATTAAGCCTTTTAATTCTTATTTATTTAACAACCCGACGTTTTAATTCTTATTTATTTAACAACCCGACATCAACTAATAGTAGAAGTGCACCGAAATGAAAATTATAAAACCGAAATGAAAAAAAATGGTCCGAAACCGAGTTTTTTCTAACTT